CCATTAACCAGATGATTATAATTTGAGCAAGTGTCATCCATCCATGCCATCCATGTCCTAAATAACAGAACCTGAAATAAAAAATTATCAAACTGCCTTCTCACCTGTAGAATTTATCAGCCAGAGGTCAAGGCTAAAATTAACTTATTTTTCCTACATCTATTTTTTACCACTAATAATAATAATAATAATACAATAATATCATCGCACTGTATTTCCAAAATACCTTCATCTATTTCATTTAATCCTAATAAAGTCACTGGAACACATTTTTAAAAGTAGGCTAGATTTTATGTTGGTAAATTTCCAAGTGTCTTCTACAAATGCTGTACTAAGCTGAAATCTTGTGATACAAAATGGATTAAGACAACGTTCCTGACTCCAGGTTGCTGCAGTTAGTGATGGAGGCAGCACATGGTGCTCTAATTATTTCTTTATATGTCTTAGAAGTCCTAGGGGAGCACAAAGGCCTGAATGTTATTGCTTCAGGAACAGAAGTAGGAGGAGTGTGGACAGAGGGAGATGGCAAGGAAGGTTTCACTGGGAAGGTGACTTTGAAACTGAATTAAAGTTCCTGCTCGATTCCTTCACTGGAGAAGCTCTGAGTGATATGGAATCCCAGTGAGCTTGAGACCCCTCGTCAATGAAATATGGATAACAAAGCTGAACTTGTAGGGTTGCTGGGAGGATGGATAAGCTAGCAATCTGCAAATGGCAAAGCACTCAGTGAATAGTGTATTATGTCTATTTGGCAGAAGTGCTATTTTGCTTTACTCCAAAGGTGAATGGCTGTCCATGAGAACTCAGTACCACTCACCAAGTCCAGGTCCTGCCTCTCACTCCAGCAACCCTGCCACCACTGCCCATTAAGGCTCTTGAAGAGACTCAAACTGTTAATATTTTATGAGCTCCAAAATCATGTTCCACCACTTTTTTCATTCTATCATTTGTCGTACTGTTAGTTTCTCGTATTGTGGTGCTGTGTGTGTTGTTGTGATGCCAGAAGCTATGCCACCAGTATTTCAGATACCTGTAGGGACCCCCATGGTGAACAGGTTTCAGTAGAACTTCCAGACTGAAACCAGGAAGAAAGCCCTAGTGATCCACTTCTGCGAATTGGCCAATGAAACCTCGTGAGTCACAACACTACATAGTTGACTTGCTTGTTTTGGACACTCCACTGGGAGGGATCAATCAATAGAGAAGGACATCATGTCTGGTGAAGCCAGGGAGACCCAGGGTGAGATGGAGTGCTACAATAGCAACAATCATGGATTCAAACTTGCTGGTGACCATGCCAATGGTACAGAACCAAGCAATGTTTCATTCTGTTGTACATAAAGTTTCCATGAGTCAGAGCCAGCTCTGTGTCAGCCATCTAGCTACTTAAAATCATCTTAACATATTTATATATGTAAGCATACCAACATCTGAGGACTTTCCATGAAATGTTGTTTCTGGATCCTAAAAGAACTTTCTCCATGAAAGGAGGGTCCCTTGTTAGGGAGGAATCACGAGAGGGAAGATCACAAGTATTTAATACGGGGATTGCCACCCAAAGTTTCTGAGCATAAACTGTGCCAGCTGCTCAACTGTTCACATGATTAAACTGTGAACTTCAATAGAAAACATTTGAATAGACATGTGCCTTGCATTTAGTAGACAATCAATAACTGCTGAATTCAAAGATTTAACCTGATCATTTTTACTCCTAAAATAGTAATACCAAAATTTCTCCTCTCGCATAATACCTATAAATTCAACTTTAATCCAAACTTCAAACAGAAAATTTTATTTAAATCTAATGTTGTCTCACACACAAAAAATGAGAAGAAATAAAGTCTGAATTTTCCTACCTTACTAATAATTTTAAAAAGAAATTGCTGTCAAGTGAATTACACCTGATAGTGGTCCTGCAGGACAGAGTAAGTCTGTAGGATCGGATGTCCAAGGCTATAATCTTTATAGAGGAGCTCTGGTGGCTCAGTGCCTAAGGTACTTGACTGCTAACCAGAAGACTGGAGGTTCAAACTCACCAGCCACTTCTCGGAGGAAGAAGGTTGGGCAATCTACTTCCATAGTGATACTGCCTCAGAAACCCAAAGAAGGGTCTGTATGAGTCAGGTCCAACTTGACGGCTCATAACAACAACAACAATCTTTATGGAAGCAGATTGTCATGTCTTACTCCAGCAGAGTAGCTGGTAGGTTCAAACCACCGATTTTTGGTTAGCAGCCGAGTACTTAACCACTGTGCCACCAGGGCTCCCATGAGCTAGGGAAAATCTTAATTAAAAAAAAAATGCTGTGTATTCATCCACTCAACAAACATTTACAGAGTGTGCACTAGGTGCCAGACAATGTATGGTGCATTGGAAACACTCAGGCATTCATGGGAAATTCACAGAGTATTTATTTAAAAGGAGCCCTGGTGGCACAATGATTAAGCTCTCAGCTGCTAACAGAATGCTGAGTGGTTCAAACCCACCAGCCACTCAGCGGGAGAAAAGACTCAGCAACCTGCTCCCATAAAAATTGTTATTTCTGTTAGGTGCCATAGAGTTGGTTCCAACTCATAACGACCCTATGTACAACAGAACGAAACACTGCTTGGTCATGCCCAATCCTCACAATTGTTACTGTGTTACTGTGCTTGAGCCCATCATGGCAGCCACTGTCAGTCCATCCTGGTAAGGGTCTTCCCCCTTTTTGCTGACCCTCTACTTTACCAAGCATGTTCTCCATCTCCAGGGACTGGTGCCTTCTGACAACATGACTAAAGTATGTGAGACATCTGTCTATTCTTGCTTCTCAGGAACATTCCAATTGTACCTCTTCCAAGACATATTTGTTCATTTTTCTGGCAGTCCACAGCATTTTCAATATTCCTCACTAATACCACAATTTAAATGCATCAACTCTTCAGTCTTCCTTCCCTTAAAGATTATAGCATAAGAAACCCAATGGGGCAGTTCTTCTCTGTCCTAAAAGGTTAATATGAGTTAAAATTGATGCTACAACACACAACAACAGTATTTACTGAATGCATCCATCCAAAAAGAGCCCTGCCTGCCCCCTCTGAATTTTGGTAAGGAACTAATCACCAAGAGCAAGTCACTTTGACAAAGCACCAAGAGATCAGACCTCTTGTTAGATAAGGAGACAGTACAGCCAGCTGATGTCCTAAAGCCTCTGGCAGGTCAGGCTGCTTTGGGTCAAAGTTCATCTCTACCACTTGTGAGCCAGGTGGCATGGGCACATTACTTAGCTTCCTCATCTTCCTCATGTTCCTCATTTATTAAAATGGGGAAATACAGTATACACTGAACACAGTAGTTGGAAAAACTAAATGAAATGATTCACGTTACAGAAGACAGCTATCACATACCAAAACCAAACTCACTGCCATCCAGTCAATTCCAACTCATAGAGACCCCTCCTTTGGTTTCTGAGGCAGTATCTCTACAGAAGTAGATTGTCCAGTCTTCCTTCTGAGGAGTGGCTGGTGGGTTTAACTGCCAGCCTTCTGGTGAGCAGTCAAATGCCTTAGGCATTACACCACATTGCAAGTACATAATAAACATTAAAAAACAAACAAATAAATAAAAATCTCCCTACCACTGAGTCGATTCCAACTCATAGTCAAAGTGACCCATGGCGTTTCCAAGGCTGCACATCTTTAAGGATGCAGACTGCCTTATCTTTCACCCAAGGAGCAGCTGGTGGGTTCACCTTTCTATGAGCAGCCAAATGCTTTAACCACTGCACCACCAGAGCTCCTTTAATAAACATTAGCTGCCCTGATGTTAAATTACTGCTATAACTGTGAGTTCCTATTCGAGGCCTGACTGAAACCTCTTAAAATCAGCACAACTGCCTGAAGCAAGATACCTGTCTCTATTGTCATATACTTGGGAGGTTTATGGATTCTTGATACACATGGCTTCATCAGTTGCTTATACACATAGATTGCTTGGCCATGAAACATTTATTCAAGAGGATCACTTAGTAACCTATCAGTTCAATGGAAATAACTTTCTGTATTTAGAAAATCAGTGCTAAGGCGGGAATCTGAACAGCACTGCCCTCGGACAGGGTAAAGAGAGATGTGGACCCTCCACGGGCAAGCGTTCCCTCCACCCACCCACCACATCCAAGTTTGTGAAAGGCTGGATATTCTACCGCGGGAGGTGGACCAAGGAGAAGCTGTCCTTCCCATTTACTTTCTCATTTGATCCCAGAAATGAAAAGCTTGGACTGTAGAGCCGGAATTCCCTTCTCGAATGACTCTGCCCTAGTTACTGCGTGATTTGGGGCACCCTGTCCACCCGGGGAGCGGTCTCAGTTTCCTCTGAAACTGACCCTTAAGGTTCATCTGCCCCCACCCCTAGTGACCCCTCAGAAAGTCGTGGCTCTGCTATGAGGACAAAGCGAGGACAACCGAGCACTTGAAGAACTTCGAAAAAAGCAAGGAGCGATTTCCCTCAAGATCACCCCACTTCCAAGTTACTAGAATCTTCTGCGTCCTCAAGGTCAAGGTTAAACAATGTTCATCTTCATTTCTTTCCTAATTCTATTTCTCTCTTTTTTCCTGTCCTCCCAATCACTGCTTCCAGAATCTATAATGTGCGCAGATTGAGTCATCGCAACTTCCTGGGGAGTTTGGGTACAAGTGGCCTCTGGTACTCCTACCTACCCCTTTCTTAGCATTCCCTTACTTTCCCAGCCAATAGAGGAGATGAAACACTTAAATGAGGTATCTAAACTGCACTTAAAGAATTAACCCATTTTGCCCCTCACTGGTCTAAACCACGGGGGGCCAAGCCTTCGTTAATTGCTTTCATCTGGTGGGGCTCCAGACAGCTCCTCAGAGGGAAAGGGCCCACATTCCTGGCACCAATTGGCTAATTCAATTTCCTTCCACGGCATTGGCCTCCGTAAGAATATTCATGAGCAGGGGGAATGAGGACCCGAGGCGCAGGCAGGCGGCAGCCACTCGGGCTAGGGAAGGCGCGAGGGAGGGGACGCGGTCGGCGCGCTGAGCTTTTGGGGGACGGTGACCAGTCCAGGCGGCTCTGCTCCGTAGCCAGGCCGGACGCTGGGGGCCGCCGACAAGCCGGCCGGGGCAGCAGAAGGGGTGGCGCGCCTGGCATCGCCACCCAACTCCTGGCGACCGCGCAGAGACTTTACGAAAGACCCAAAGGCAGAAGAGCTGTGACACTTTTGGCGGAGAGGCCCGGGGGGTGGGGGGCTGGGGGAGCGCTGCGAGCGGGGCGCAGGGAGCCGGGAGCGCCCGACGCTGGAGGAAGCGATGTGAGCTGGATGTGCCCCGGAGGCGGCTGGACCGATCGTCCCCGGAGTCGCCGGCGTGCCAGGTAAAGGCAAGGCTTGGCGGGGTCCGCGCAGCTGTCCCCGGCTCCGGGAGCGGGGTGCGCGGGGCGCTCGGAGCCCACACTCTGAGGGTAAGGAGCCCCGGCTCTGTGCGCGGCCGTCCTGCCGTCCTCCCGCCCGCAGACCTCCCAGAGTTGGACTTGCTAGGACTTTGCGAGCGGAGAGGCTGCCCCGGCGGCTGGGGGCGCTTACTCCGGAGCCCGCCAACGGGGCGCAGCGGGGCGCAGTGGGGCGGGCGGAGGGCTCGCCGGGTGGGGACAGAGACTGGGGCCCGGCCGGGGGTGCTTGGCCCCGCTTCGCCTCGCTTGCCCCGCGGGTGGCGGCGCCTCCCTCCGGTTGCAGAGGGGAGCGGGGTGGCCGGGCTGTGCCGCGGGAAGAGGACGCAGAGACCCGAGCTCCGGGAGGCGCGGGCGTCTGCGGGGCGGGTGTCAGGTCTGCAGCCTCCCGCCGCACCCCCGCCGAGCTCAGCTGTGGGAGGAGAATGTGGTGGGGACTCGCGTCCCCGCCACCTGCCGGACATCGCCAACTCCCCGGATTTCCTGTCTCCGGGCCCTGACACTCGGGGCGCTTGGAATTGCGCGCGGGTTGTTGGCACTTTGCTTGTTGCAGTTGCCGTGGAGGCAGGGCCGGGTGAGGGGGCGGCGAGGGGTTCAGATCGGATGAAAGTTTTAGGTTTGTGAAGGACACGCTGAGGCTGTGGAGTTCCCCTGCCCTTGGCAAGAGAGACTGGGCTGCTCTGCTGCGAAGAGGGAGCCTTCGCCAGAGTGGCCACCTCGGGGGCGGGCGGGGGTTGCAACCTGAAGGAGAGCCCGCCAGAGCCTTTGTTTCCTCCTGCTCAGACCAGGCAAGCAGTAATAGGGCCTGGACCAGAAAACTGGGGAGTTGATGGCATGATAGACTGGGAGTCGACTGTGATGTTGCCGTTATGTTTCCTATTCTTAGTTCTGTTGTTGTTGTTGTTGTTGGCATGAATGCTATGAAGGCTCTTGTCTTCTGATTGCCGTAGGTCGCCTGGATACTGAGTCTGTGCCCCCCCAAGTGAAATGTCCCTGACCCAGCCTCTAGTCTGATGAGTCTTTTCACCAAAGGAAATTATACCCTGAGATCTGAGGTAGTATCAGGGATCCAGCTAATGAACTGGATCTGCAGAAAATCAAAACTGCCTAAAGCGTATGCACCCATGCTATGTGTGAATATTGTATTTCTGTCCACTCACCTTCCTCATCTTCCTCTGGCCAGGAGATCATGGAGGCGTCGCCCTTCTTGAACTCTATACCTGACCGTGTGTTTTCCTTGCATTGTGTTTATACAGCCTGGGGGATCTTTATCTCTCAGGGGTTAGTGCCACCCTTGCTCTCCCACTGGGCGTCCTCTATGGGCTGGGCGGGAAGTCTAGGTTCCCAACAATGGTGGAAGCCAGCAAAGAGCACCTGTAGTTGCCTCCTCCTGCCTTGGCCAGGGTCAGAGCTTCTCCAGGGCGCAGGCTTGGCTGGCTGATGAAGCGAAAAACAACCAGCAAGAAGAGTGGGAGAATATCAGGTGAGAGTTAGTGGGTGCAGGAGATGAGGTCAAGTCTCCAGGCTGGCCAGACCCCTTCCTGCCAAAGGAAAAATAAAGGTAGTGGTGAGGGGAGGGACAAGTAGGATCAGTTGGAACAAAGCTTGAAGCGTCTACTTAGGTTGTTACTGCTGACTTTGGTGTGACCTTCCTTCCAAGGGCTTCTGGTTTTCCCTGTTTGCAGATGCACAAGCGGGCATGCCTTCCTACTGGGACAGTTGTCAGGAGATGATCCAATTTTGTCTCCCAGAAATGCTGCGAGCATCCTAGGAAAGGACAGACAGACGATAAAAGACGTGATTTTTATGTTTTGTGAAAAGTTCGCTCCACTGCAGGTTAAGGGGATGCATATTTAGCACGTGTGCCAGGTGGCGGTGTAAAATTAAAATGGAAAAAGAAAGTACAAACATAAAAATGACTTAGCCTTTCTTGACATTCGTGTGCATACTTGTAGAAAAATTATCTTTCATTTGGGGAGTGGTGCCTGGGAATTTAATCAGTGTTTATACTACTGAAACGTCCCCTCTACCTTTCTCCCCTGTAAAATTTTATGACCCAGTTCTCACCAGAAAGGCAATGTGAATGTAGTTAGTGCTGGGGGCAGAGAGGTGAGATGGAGGGTGTTAAGGGAATTGTCACATGGGTTTCTGGACTGGAATGAGAAGGGAGATGCCACCATCCTCAGAGAACAGGGAAATGTTTGGAAAAAGCATTTAGGCAGCTTAAGGACGTGGTCCCTGTATTGAGTGTCCTCTGCTCTTAGATTCAGGAAGGGGATTCCATCAGATGTTCCACAGAGGGCTAAGCTAGGTGTTTGTCCCCTCCTTACCTGTGAATTGGCATTAACTCCCCTCTGCCTGTCTGCTGCCAATGCATTCATTTTTCTTTGCCAGTCCCAAGAGACACAGATGTACCCACTCAACCCCTTATCTATTTGTAAATATTCCCCCAGTTCTGAAGATTCTCAAAGACCTGCAGCTGCTGGTGAACTTAAGTAAATAGTTGGAAGTAATCAAGAGAGCCATTGAAAAGTGGATATGTTTTCCTCTGGTGGAGAAGTTATTGAATGCCTTTTGAGTTACAAAATGAGCAGTTTGGAAAAGCGGAGGGATTGCCTTGACTTCCCTCAATACCCATAAACCAGTGGTTGTATTTTTCTGTCCCTCATAGTAGGGAGCACTGTTTGGTTTGGCTTTTTTTTTTTTTTACCACTTTGGGCTGAAAATGGGGTTTTGCCTGGTGGTGTTCTATGGAGAGAGGAAAAATGTAAAGTGTTACGGAAGGAAGAGCTGTAGTGGCCAGAACATAAATCAGCTAGAATATATGGAGGGCTGATGAGAATAGGTCTTTTCACCCTAAAAAAAAAAAGAAAAAGAAAAAATTGTCCACTTTGGAAGAAAAACCAGTCTGATTATTGGCATCCAGCGCTGAAACCAAGGCAGCTGATGCTGAGAGGAGCCAAAGGGCAGTTCTTCTTAGTTTAGAAACAGCAAGACAGCCTCTGCCAAAGATTGCTGTAAACACGGAATAAAGATTTCATTGTGAGCTGGTGTGACTAGAATAATTAGACAGTTAATTGTTCATTCTGATCTGGTGGGGCAGCAATCAGCCATGCAGAGAGCGAGAATCAGACCAAGGGAGAGATAGGAAAGTGCCACTTGTCACCTTCATCCTCACTTGTTTCATTCTGATGATACTTTGGAAAATCCTGCTTGGTTTAAAATATACATATATGGGAGCTCTGGAAGCATAGTGCCTAAGGCACTTGACTGCTAACCAGAAGGCTGGCGATTCAAACCCACCAGCCACTCCTCGAAAGGAAGGTTGGGCAATACTACTTCTGTAGTGATACTGCCTCGGAAACCCAAGGAGGGGTC